CTCACATTTAAGTCTAGTAGAAACACCTTTAGAAAATTTGAAGATTGTTTAATTTTTTAAGAGTACAAGCAAGTTCTGAGAAAGTGCCTTCCTAAAGTTCATACAGGATCCAAACTCCTGTTCTGAGTTCAGGGCCAGTCCAACCCATTAGACCTTTCTGATTTGTTTTTAATAACCATGAATTTGGCAACTTTTTAATGACTGATATGCTGATAAAGCACTTTTGGCCTCATTTCTGTCTTCTAATCCAATTTACAAGTTTCATTTTCATACAATGAAAGTTGTTTCCTTAATTCCTTTAGGACTTAAAAATAGTACATATAAATTATGAAACATAATTTACTCTAAACATACCTTGGGTTTTGCCATAATTAAGCTGTAATTTTTATTTAAAGAAAATCTCTTTTTCTCTGAGTACAAGAACTTTGTACACTATACAAGATGGGCATAGCATAAGACCCACTGTTTCATATTTTCTGGGTGCACTGGGATGTAAATGAGGACATGCTTTCTAAGACCTCAGAAATGAAATAATTATGGGAGAAGTAATCAGAAAGCTAAAATAATCCAGCATTATCTAATGACAATATATTTCCACACTGCTATACCTTTATGCATATATTTATAATAGGAGATAAAATTAAAACTTTGAAACATGAAAATACACAATTAAAGAAAAGGACCAAATTCTCTATTTTTTATTCCAAATAAAATTAGTGGAGACTTAAAATATAAGCCCCAGATCACCTAGGTGTACAAAGATAATACAAAGCTACATATTTTTCAGTGTAGCTTTACACTGGGATCATTTGGAGAGACTGAAGATAGTGTACCTACTGATATCCTGAGACAGAAGCAAATTTAACTCATGGATAAAATATGTAACGCAGATGAAATTATGAATTTAAATTTTTGGCTAGATAATCACATTTTATTTTATTTTATTATTTCATTTTTATTTTTTGAATTGGAGTCTCACTGTCGCCCAGACTGGAGTGCAGTGGCCGCTCCTGGCCACCACAGCCTCGACCTGCCGGCTCCTGCGATCCTTCCGCCTCAGACTTCCAAATAGCTGGAACTACAGGCGTGTGCTACCATGCCCGGCTAATTTTTTGATTTTATTGTAGAGATGAAGTCTCGCCTGCCCAGGCAGGTCTCGAACCCGTGGGCTCAGGCAATCCACTCACCTCAGCCTCCCAAAGGCTCGGGATTACAGGCTGAGCCACCGAGCCCGGCTTGATAATCACATTTTAATATGTCTTTACTACAATTCAAGAATGGAAACCAACATTGAGACGTTTTATTGAATTTAATTGTTATATTCAACACATGCTTCTTAACAAACCTGTGTTTTTTTCAGTCTGATCATAATAAGAGAGTTGAATAATTTGGAGACATAATCTAATTTTTCTCTAGTAGCACTAGAACTTACCTACTGGTCTTGTGAAGGAGTTGTGAAGTAATTCTAAGAGGGAAGTTTATAACACTAAATGACTACATTAAGAGAAAATAAAGATCTTAAGTAAACAACCTAACTTTATACCTCAAGGAACAAAGTTGCTTTTTTTCTAGCAAAAGCAACTTAGTCCTAACGTTAGCAGAAGGAAGAAAAAAATAAAGATTGCAGCAGAAATAAAATAGAGCCTGGAAAAACATTAGAAAAGATCAATAAATACAAGAGTTGACTTTTTGAAAAGATACACAGAATTAGCAAATCTTTAGCTAGACTAAGAAAAAAAAGACTAAAAAAGATTTTAAAAAACAGGAATGAAAGAGGAGACATGAGAACTGATACAACAGAAATGCAAACAATTATAAGACTACTATGAACAATTATATGCCAACAAATTGGATAATGTAGAAGAAATAGATAAATTCCTGAAAACATACAAATCTACCAAGACTGAATCATGAAGGAACAGAAAATCTGAGCAGACTCAAAATGAGTAAGAAGATTGAAACAGTTATAAAAATCCCCCCTAGAAAGAAAAGCCCAGGACTGAATAGTTTTGTTGGTGAATTCTGCCACACATTTAAAGAAGAATTATCCCAATTTTTAAAACTCTTTAGAAAACTTAAAGAGGAGGGAACACTTCCAAACTCATTTTATGAGGTTAGCATTATCATGATACCAAAGTTAGATAAGGGCACTACATTAAAAAATACACACACACACACACACACACACACACACACACATAGTAAACACATGTAAAAACCCATAACAAAATGCTAACATACCAAATTTAAAAAGATATAAAAAAGATCATACATCATGATCAAGTAGGAATTATCCTTCAGATGCAAGAAGGATTCAACATAAGCAAATCAATAATTGTGATAAACTACATTTACAGATTAAAAAAGTCATATGATCATCTTAATAGGTGCCAAAAAATTTTTTAACAAAATTCAACATTCTTTCATGACTAATCTCTCAGTGAATTAGGTATAAAGTAAATGTACCTCAACACAATAAAGACCATAAGTGACAAACTCTCAGCTAACATCATACTCAGTTGTGTAACACCAAAAGCTTTTCTTCTAACATCAGGAGCAAGATAATAATGCCCACCCTCACCACTTTTATTCAATATAGTGCTACAAGTTTTAGATAGGGGAATTAGGCAAAAGAATGATGTAAAAGACATCCAAACTGGAATGAAAGAAGTTAATTTTTTTCTGTTTGCCTATGATAGGATCTTTTATATAGGAAACTAAAGATTCCATTAAAAACTGCTAGAACGAATGCATTCAGTAAGGAGGCAGTATACAAAAACCAACATTTAAAAATCATAACTTTTCTATGCAATAACAAGAAACTAGCTGAAAAATAAACTAAGTAAACAGTACCTCTTACAATTAGCATATTAAAATACCTAGAATAAATTGAACCAAGGAGGTGAAAGACCTGTACACTGAAAACTACAAAACATTGATGTAAGAATTTGAGGAAGAAACAAATAAATACAAATAAATCCTCTGTTTATAGACTGGAAGAATTAATATTGTGAAAATATCTTGTACTTCTCAATATGACTTACAAATTCAATGTAATTTCTGTCAAAATATCAGTGACATTTTCACAGAAATATATTTTTAAAATCCTAAAATTTGTATGAACTCACCAAGACCCAGGATAACCAAATAAATCTTGAGCAACATCGTACCGCCTGACATCAAACTATACTACAATATGATAGAAATCAACACATCATGATACATGCATTAAAAGTGACATACAGACCAACAAAATGGAACAGGTAGCCCAGAAATAAATTGATGCACTTACAGCCAGTTGATCTTTGACAAAGATTGCAAAAACACAGAATGGGGAAAAGACAGTCTCTTTAATATACAAATATTGGTGAAACTGTATAACCACATCAAGAAAAACAAAACTAGATAATTATCTCACACATATTAAGAAAATCAACTCAAAATGAATTAAAGACTTAAAGACCTGAATCTCTAAAACGACTGAAAGGAAGCACAGGGAAAAGGCTTCTTGACATTGTCTGACTTTTTGGGGTATATAAATCCCAAAGCACCAACAACAAAAGCAAAAAATAGTTTATTGGAATTGCATCAAACTAAAAAGTTTCTGTACAGCAAAGGAAATAATCAACAGAGTAAAAAGACAACCTATGGAATGAGAGAAAATATCTGCAAACCATACATCTGCAAAGGGCTTAATATTTAAGATACATAAGGAATTGAAACAAGTCAATAATATAAAAACAACCAACCTATGTAAAAAATGGGAAGAATATTTAAAAAGCCATTTCTCAAAGAAATACATGCAAATGACCAACTGGTATATAAAAAATGCTAGCACCACTCATCATCAAGTGTAAATTAAGACTGCAATGAGATATCACCTCACACCTGTTAAAAATAGCTGTTATCAAAAAGACAAAAAGATAAGAGCTGGTGAGGCTATATAAAAAGGGGAATTGTTGGTAGGGATACAAATTACTAAACTCATTATGGAAAACACTATGTAGGTTCCTCAAAAAATAAATAAATAAAACTCATATCCAACAATCCTACTACTGAGTATATATCAAAAGGACATAAAATTAGTATGTTGCAGATATATTTGCACTCTCATGTTCATTGAAGCATTATTCACAATAATAAGACATGTAATCAATTTAAGTATCTATTGACATTAAACAATAAAGAAAATATGATGTGTGTGTTAAAATACTATTCAGTCTTTAAAAAGAGGGAAATTATCTCATTTGTGACAACATAGATGAACCTGGAGGACATTACACTAAGTGAAATAAGTCAGGCCCAGAAAGACAAACCTCTTATGATTTCACTCATGTGTGAAATCTAAAAAAAACTGAATTCATAGACACAGAGTAGAATTGTTGCTATCAGAGACTGGAGGGAAAGTTGCCCAAAAGGTACAAAGGTTTAATTTTATGGGATGACTAAATTCTGGAGGTCTATTATACAGAATGGTAAGTGTAGTTAATAGTAACTAATTATGTACTTTAAAATTGCTAAGAGAATAGATGTTACATGGACTCATCACAAAAAACTAATAAAAATGTGAGGTGATGGTATGTCGATTAACTTGATTTAATTGTTTCACAATGTATACATATATTAAAACTTTACACTGTATTACAGATATATATATAATTTTTATTCATCAATTGTACCTTAGTAAAGCTAAGCGAAAGGAAAGAACTATCTTGAAAAAATAGCAATGGGAGACATAACATCAGTTTTCCTGCTAAAAACGAATCTTTCATCAGCCACATTGCAAAGTAAAAACCAAGAGATTCTAATCCAATATACCAAAATATCAGCCCCCCCATTCAAATTATATCAAGGAAAATATTTGAAATGTAGATTTAAGTGCACTATCATTAACTATGTGCTGTCAATAAAGAAAATAAGATTATTTAGTTTATCAAGCAGGAAAATAAAACATTTGAAAGCACTAATGTTTTTGAAAGATGCATAAATACAATACATACTGGGTTTAGAAGGATTGTGAGAAAAAGTTCACCTCCTCTGATACTTTTATCCAGTTCTTGTGGTCCTCCTGGATACTCTTTGTAGAAAATAGTGTGAGTGAACAACCCACAGGTCTGTCGAGGGAGGACCTGAGGAAAAGAGGGAGGAAACACCACATTAACAAGATTTAATTAAGAACTTTACTATCTTATGAATTCAGTGTCTGGCAATTATCATTTCCTATTTAAGTTTCTTGGTTGCTGGGGTCAAAATCCCAATGTAGTCAGAAGCTGATGTTGGTGTCATTATGTAAATATCAAGAGAGTTGCCAAAAGAAAGCTATAAGAAATAAGTTAAAGAATTTTCACTGAGCTCTGTAAATCTGACCTACCACCTGTGTCATGTTAAATAATTAGCGAGGAAAAAAAAGTCTCCTTATGGTTAGTTGAATTCCAAAGATGGACAGTTTTCAAGGTTGCATTTTTTCAAACTAGTAGGCTGTTCCTTCCCTGGTTTCTAAAAACTAGTCCTGCATTGTACAGGTACTCAGGTTCTGGGATTCAGAACAATCAGTTTTCATCACCTCCTCCACATTAGTTTTGTTTTTTGCTATACTGAATTTAAATTTAAAATTTAATGAATTTAAATTTTCTCACAGTAGTAGACAAATAATTGCTTCTAGTATATTTTATGGTTATTTCTTTGGTAAATATGAAAGTTTAACAAATAAAGCAAATATGAAATTTTACTTAAAATTCTATTTAAATAAGTAGTTAAATGAAAACTACTTATAATCTAAAGGAAAAACACATTTAATTGCACAACGTAGTTATGTTTTTAAAAATCTGTTGCTTAGTTATTTTACTAGTTTATACTAAACTCAAGGTAAGTGAACGCATGTAATAGTGGTTGAAAAGAATGTTTTAATTTCATAGTATGTTAAATGGTCATGCACCCTAATAAAAGGAACTGGGTGCTTTCACTTTGATTTGAAATTACATGAGTAATTCTGTTTATACCTCCTGGATTTCTATGGACATCAATGTCATTATTTGCATTTTCAATTTTTTAAAATCTGAGGCATTTTAGATCCAATTTACTATAAGATGAAGTTTCATTATTATTGAATATTGAGTACTGGCTTTGAATAGTTGTTTGTGCATTTTTTGCACTTGTAAATAGTGATTATATTATTATATTACAAAATATTATTATATTACACATTATTATATTACAAATAATGAGTTAGGAAGGTGTAAATATTTAAATGAATGAGAAAAGTTTATAAACCATTGTTCTAGTTCTGGCAACTAATTATGAAAACATGATCTAACTCACTGGAAGTGAGGGTGGATGTTTTAAATTAAGCTATTTCAAAGTGAATGATAAAATTTTTATTCTGATGAATGATTGTAAATTTCTATGAAAAATCCACTTGGTTTTATTCTTATTTATAGAAACTGATGTGTCAATATTATAACAGATTATCATTTTTTCAATTAATGTATCTAAAAGGATAACATATATCTCTCTTTCTAGAGTATGTAAGAAAAAAATTTTTTAAAAAGAGTATTATCCTTAGATACTTTTGAATGTCTGAAAGCCGAAATAAACTAAGTGGGTAAACTTAACTTTCAGATGCTATTTGTTCCATTCTGTCTGTTAATAGTGTAGCAGTTTGAGAGAGTTTTCCTGACCCAGAGATCTTTACTCTGCCTGTAAAACTCTCAGTAAAACCACCCAACCAAATAGATACTGAGAAATTCCCCAGCAGAAATTACAGAACCTACAAGGAAAATTTCAGTGATGAAGCTGCTGTGGATAATCTATATGAAACTCATTTCCATTAGTTCCAGCTTGTCTTTGACTCACCAAAGCCACTCTACAGTTTAGGAGCAAGCTTAGAGCCAAACAATGTGTTAATGTGTGACCAGTTACTACGGTGTGTTAGGAATTTCTAATACTAATAGAAAAGAGATTTGAAGTCATATCCTTAGAGGTAATGACCCTCTGTGTTTATTCCACATGGCGATATTAAGATTCGACAATATATACAACCATATGTGCTCACCATGATGCTATTGTGAATGAAGCCCCTTCTGTACCGTGCTGGCTTCAGATGTGGATACTCTTCAGTGCTGGTGACCTGAATACCCCAGACCTTCTTCCAAGCTGTGTACAGCTGAATATGAACTGGATAAACTCCCGAGTGATGTGGGGCCACAGCATAGCCCATGTTGATTGGTATTCCATGTTCCTAAATGAAAGCCAGAACATCATAATAGGGTGTGGTCAATTAATTCAATTAACGTTGTTTCTACAAACATCTACTAAAAATATACTGAATTCTGTGAAAAGTGTGAGGAAAAAACTCGCAGGGTAGAGATTTTATCTTTCAGTAGCTCATAATCTCATCGAACACTGATGGCACAATAGACATAGTAATTATTTGGGGTATGTGGTGTGTGGGTGAGATTAATTCAAAATTTTGAATACAAAAAATTGGGGGAGAAGATTGGAAGTGAATCTGGCCCTTCTTAGATAGATACAGAATGCCCAAAGATGGAGAATAGAAGAGCACAGTGTGTATGTGCATTTGTGTGTGTCTGTGTCTGTGTGTATCTGTGGTGTTGAAGAAAATCAGAAAGGTAAATTATAAAGTGATGAACATTTACAGTTAAACTGAGGGATTTGGAATGAATTCTCTTTAAGTAGTGTAGATCAAAAGGCTCCCTGATTATGGAGAATCTAGATCTGCTCCGGTTTTTAAATAGAAGAATCTCTCTGATAATATGTTAAAATGAACTGTGAGAAGGGAGGGAATGACTCAAGGCCAGGCAATAGGAAACTATTTCTATGGTACGGATTAGGTTTTGATGGTGCCTAAATTAAATTTTGGTTACCAGATTAAAAGGGAATTAACACCATGCAATATCCCATGATGTTTTAGATACAGAGGGTAAAGGAAAGGTAGAAGTTAAGAATCTCCCCTTGGTTTTGAACCTTGGCAACTCAATTTATTTTTATAAAGCATACACTTTACTATGAGATGCTTTCTATGGGTGAATTGTCAACTCTAAAGAAAAAACAAGTATAAATTTCAAACAAGAATATAAAAAAAAGTCAAAGAATGGTATTATATTGCTAGGTACATAAAATGGATCTGTAGTTTTCTAATTTCTGCTTCTTTATATGTCTCCCTTTAAATGCTTATCTGCTTTATAAAGACCCCTTGTAGGATTGAATCTCATCTATTGGGGTTATAAATGACAATGTACAGTCATATATGAAAGCTGATTGAATCAATAAACAGAACACAAAAGTGTTGTCTTGACAATTGCCATTTATATTTTCTATTACAAGGTACACAGCATAGGAAAAGGATTCAGTCCGTTACAATAAGCAAACAGTGAATGGATCACATATCTACAACGCCTAAGTCATATGCCACACTCAGCTCTGAAGATAGATGCTAAATATTTCACATCTTCATCATTCTTCCTTTCATGTAATGACCCTCATTGTATAGCCAAATTCACCTCTCTTTTTCCAAGACTATGTGTGTTTTCTAACATTTATTACAGTAAATGACTCTGTAGAAAGACTGAATTATGAAATCAATGCTGTAAAATGAGCTGGAGTCTTTTGTGAAGCACTAGGGAAAATTCATTTCTTAGTGTGTGCAAAAGAAAAATACTTCTTCCAGGAGCTTGCATTTTCAATACAAGGCAAGGTTGGAAAAGTCTGGTAACAAAAATACTTGAGAACTACCAGAGGATGCAGACAAAAATTGTTACTCTGACACATCACTAGGAGACTTGTGCTGCAAAAAGCCTTAGTTCTCTCATCTCATACTGCCCAGGGAATGGCTGCAAAGTGTTTTGAGGATGAGCTATCATCCAGGAGCTAAGATGTTGCAAGCATTTGGATGCATTGGGTATGAGATAGAGATGAATTTCCACATGAAAGAACTCTAGAGTCAAGAGTGTTCAACCCCCTTTGTTTGGTAAATAGTATTTATATGACTATTGCCTACAGAAGTACTCCTGGTTCATAGAAAAATAATAAAAAATACATTATCCTCTTATTACTCTCTCAAGTGATTCATACTGAGGTTTTATGTCTTGTCACATAATCTGAAGAATGACAAAATCAACAGTGTGAAAATCCTAATAGTCTTTTCTAATAGCTTTGTAAGTTCTTATTTTGTATTAATGTATAATATTTTGTTCTAAATCTGGGGACTAGAATGCTAGATAAGTATGTGAGTGTCCTGAAAACAAAGAGATGAAAATAAAATCAGCAAAAGGAATTAAAATATCAAACTGGATATTCTCAGGAAAAAAAAAAAAAGACATTTCACTTTTGACAGGTAGTAAAATGAATTGTAGATCTTTCATGGAAAAAAAAAACACAGAAGGTAAAAAGCAATTGATTTGTTGAGTAGAAAGGAAGGGGGAGTAAAAAGATTTTATTATGTTTATTGATTTCTGGGGGTTCAATGTTATACTGTTCATAAGGTCATCTTATCACACTGGCAACTGGAGCTCAATCAAAATAGTAAATCACACTAGATAATTATGAGTTTATGCTTTTTCACTCTAAATGATAACACAAAGTGAAAAGTAATTCCCTAGTAACTCTTTTTCTGTTACCAAGGGGCTTACTGAACTAGAAGCCTTCATTCTTTACTGTTCAGGACTTAAAACCCACTTCACAAAGATTTGGTCAACTAAAAAATGAACTAAGCATCACATTTATACAAGATTACAAAAACTGAAAAATTTGAAGAACTTTCCAATGTAAATGTAGGAAGCACTTGAAACTCTGTAGAAATAGACTTATAAAATGCAGAAAACAAATAAATTCAAATATAGCTGCTAGTATTTATCAGAAAGATATCTTTTATAGGAATCCTATATGATAATATGACATGCCACCAAAAAATTCACATGAGAATCTGACTTAAGTTAATTTTTCCATTTACATTAAATCCCAGTTGATTGAAGAATGAGATATTATGGTAATATACAGGCTATATTAAAGAAAATCAACTTTTTTCAAAACTTAGAATAGAATATTTTCAGCACTAAAACTCTAACAGCAACTGAAATGATATCATTTCATTTTTCTTTTTTTTATAATCAATATTTTTTATTATGATATTGTGGGGTACAGTTAAGGGTTAGGTATACAAATATGCTTCGTTCAGGCACCCTTGTTGATAAGAGGTGTCTCCCTGTCCCCAGACAGATATTTACTACCGTTAATCCCATCTCCCTTCCCCCCGCCATAGTTTCCCACCACTGTCAGTCATTTTCTTATAGTATTACATTGAATGTTCACGGTCCACTATATAAGTGAGAACATGTGATACTCAGATCTTTGTTTCTGTGAGAGATCACACAGCATTTCATTTTTCTTTGACTAGTTCTATGGATCAAATTTCCTGGCAATTGTTTAATACCTGATATTTATGAAAAGTCTTTACATTCATGTTGAATGTGATCCTTATAATAATTCTGTGAGAGGACTGGATGTTATTATAAAATGTAGAAGTGGAGACTTGGAGAAGATATATGACTTGTTCGGTACAAATGTCAAAGCTAGAATTATATACCCAAGGCCTCTAAATTCATAGTCTTTGCTTTTGCTTTTCCACTCAGTTGTTTCTACCCTAACTCTTCACCTCTCCACAGTATATGACTGAAAGTACTTTACTTTAAAAAGGGAATTGATTTTAACTGATACACATTTCTGAACCCAACTCTTTTCCATTATTTTTTTCTCCCTTCTTGGAATAGTTATAAGCCATAATCTACATTTCTTAAAGTCCTCTGAAGCTTTCATTTTCAATGAAAATGGGGTTCAGTCAATGAGAAGTATTCAAGACAAATTTCAGAGACAGAGTTTAAATTCTGGCAGCTCCTGCCTTGGTTGTTGGTATGTAAGATCTTGAAAACAAGAGATTTTCTGCAGCAGTATTTGATGCCCATCTGCAGGGCAGCAGCAGAAGCATATTGTTTCTGTCAGAGCTCCAATGGGCAGCCTCAGAAATGGCAGATCCCCTTGGGAGTCCCGTCCAGATCTATATGACTCTGAGAGTCCCCGCAGGAGAACAGCCTAAAATCTGCTCCATCAGCCCTTTCAAAGCAAAAATTCTCCTTGTTTAAACTAATTTAAGGTGGCTTTTGTTTCTAGCTTGGAAATCTGATGGATAGAACTAGTCTTTGCCCCTTTCTAGTAAGTGTAAAAGATTTAAGAGGTTCTAGTGGTTTAAGTTATAGGAAAACAGAGGAAGATCTTGGTAAAGCACTGCCCAATATTTATCCAATAAAACTGGTTGATATATGGCAAGCACATATTTGTCTAGGTTTATACTATTATGGTTTTTATATATTATTATTCACTCTTATGTATTGAATAGTCAGTGGGTACCATATAGAAAATAAATAGGTGACTACGGTCTACTTAAATAATAAATGCCAAATGCACATGGAAACCATTACATTCAACTACATTTGAAATAATTATTATGGAGTTTGTGACTTTTGCCAAGCATTTTGCTAAGTACCGGGGATACGATGGTTATAATATGACTTCCACCTTAATAAAATTTGAAAGTTGAAGACAACTGTGAAAGTCAATTAGATAGATGAATCATAATTCTTGTTGAGTTTTTAACCTGTGCTTTTGATTTTTAAAAATATTATTATTAACTTTTAGGCATTCTACTAGTGGGAAGAAAAATGACATTCTTGGTATAAACCTCTTCTCATCCAACTAACATTGCCTTAATATATATTAAAGTTAAAATAATAAATTTATATCTAAAGACTTGTAATTTTAATCTTTCTTAGAATTTTATGAGTAAATGCAATTAAATATAATAAATTGTGTCTAAGGAGCATTTGACAAGAATAGAATGTGGATAATTCCTGTGTGTTTCAGTAATAGTTCTAGTGATGTGGTTGCATGAACATGTTTTTGGTCCAGTGATGTTTTGTTGGTGAATTTTTCCCATGTCCATCCATAATCAAATGAAACTTAGTACTGATGCTTTCATGAATGATCTTTTCTTATGGTTTTTAAGTAACAGATAATAAGTGTGAAGTTTAGAATTAAAATAATTCCAAACAAGGTAATAATCTCATAAAATACTGAAAGGAATAAACTACTCCAGGTCAGTGGTTATTATGAAAAATAATAAATATCTCGAATCAGTTTGTTTTTGTTTTAAAGAGTAGATTTATACAT